GTAGTCCACAATCATCTCCTTTGTCTTGGTCACGTTGAGGGAGAGGTTGTTATCCTGGCACCACACGGCCAGGTCTCTAACCTCCTCCCTATAGGCTGTCTCATCGTTGTCGGTGATCAGGCCTACCACTATTGTGTCGTCGGCAAACTTAATGATGGTGTTGGAGTCGTGCCTGGCCATGCAGTCATGGATGAACAGGGAGTACAGGAGGGGACTGAGCACGCACCCCTGAGGGGCCCCCGTGTTGAGGATAAGAAATAAGAAATGTGTGGAGTGGTTGAAAAACTAGTTTTAATGACTCCAACCTAAGTGTATGTAAACTTCCGACTTCAACTGTAGATGCTGCTGTAACCCCTCCTTAGTGGGAGACCGCAGCACCAGGTCATGTGCATACAGCAGACACTTGATTTCAGTGTTGTGTAGGGTGAGACCAGGTGCTGCAGATTCTTCTAATGTTTTTGCCAATTCTTTAATGTAGACGTTAAATAGTGTTGGGCTTATTGAGCAACCCTGTTTCACTACATGTCCCTGATAGAAGAAGTCTATTTGCTTGTTGACAATTTTAACCACACATTTGTTTTTAGTGTACCTTGATTTAATACCATCATATGTTTTCCCTCCAATACCACTTTCTATTAGTTTATAAAAAATACCTTTGTGCCAAATTGAATCAATGCTTTCTTGAAGTCTACAAAACATGGGTAGATTTAGCCTTTGTTTTGGTTTACTTGTTTGACAATTAGAGTGCGGAGGGTATAAATGTGGTCTGTTGTGCAGTAATTTGTTAAAAATCCAATCTGGTCAGGACGTTGTGTTCATCAAGGAAATGACGTAGTCTGCTATTTATGATACTGCAGAGAATTTTCCCCAAGTTGCTGTTAACGCAAATTCCTCTCCAATTATTTGGGTCAAATTTGTCTCCATTTTTATAGATTGGTGTGATCAATCCTTGGTTCCAAATATTGGGTAAAATACCTGCAGTAAGGATAATGTTAGAGAGTTTGAGTATAGCCAATTTGAATTTGTGGTCTGTATATTTGATTATTTCATTTAAATACCATCAGCACTACAGGCCTTTTTGGGTTGTAGAGTGTATAGTTTTTCCAATAATTATTGTTCTGTAATCCACAGGATTCTGGTAGTCTTTGACTGCTGATTCAAGGATTTGTAATTGTTCTTGTATATATTTTTGTTCTGGGCTCTTTGTTATATTGCTGTAGAGGTTTGCAAAGTGATTTCTCCACATATCACCATTTTGGATAGCCAATTCCTCATGATGTGGATAGCCAATTCCTCATGATGATTATTCCAATTCTCCTAGAAGTGGTTTGATTCTATGGATTCCTCAATTACTTCCAGCTGATTTCTAATGTGCTGTTCCTTTTTTGTTCTTAGGGTGTGTTAGTATTGCTTCAGTGTTTCCCCATATTGAAGGCGTATATTTTTGTTGTCTGGTTCTCTGTGTTTTTGAATAGATATATTTCTCAATGACTTCCTTAGATTTTTCCAGTCATTATCAAACCATTTTTCATTATCTATTCTTTTTGGTTTACTCTTATGTTCCTTTAGATTAGTCAAAGAGGATAATTTGTCAAATATAAAGTTTATGTTCCAAACGGCCAAATGTACACCTTCATTGCTGTAGGAGAATGTTAAGGCTAAAAAGTAGTCCAGGAGAGATTGTTTTTTTGGCTACTAATTGCCTTTTGGTAGATTTCTGTACTGTTTGCACTCCATCTATAGGCCTGTTTAGTGGCATGTAGTTTATTGGGCCGTGATGCTTCATGGTTGGGTTCCGCTCTTCTTAGATACACTGTGATTTTACAGTGGTCTGAGAGAGGTGTTAGGGGGGAGGGAGGTTGTTGCTTCCTGGTAGGTGTTTATTCCAATGACTGTTAATGGCCTGAAAGTGAATAATCTCCCCCTCTAGAATGGAGAAACTCTCTTCATTGAAGTAGGGTGACTCTGAGGGGGAATGTATGTGGCACAGAGGAAGACGTTTTTATCGGCTAAGATCGCCTCCTGGTTGATTTTTAACCAGATAAAGAATTCTCCTGTTTTTAGCAATTCGATTGAATTAGTTAGTTCAGATTTATACCATATTACCATTCCCCCTGAATCTCTGCCCTGTGTGATTCCTTTTAATTTGGTGGATGGTACGATTATCTCCCTATAACCTAGTGGACAGCCAGTGGAAACATCACCTGTGCGCCATGTTTCCTGTAGTACTATAATATCAACATCATCAATTTCTTTCAGGATGTCTGGGTTTCTGCTCTTTAGCCCAAAAGCAGCAGACTTCAATCCTTTTAAATTCCAACATGCAACGTAAAAAGATTTCATACGTTTTTTTCTTTACCTTCAAAATTAGATAAACACTCACAATCAAACAAGAACTATTCAAATAGGATGTTTCAATTAATATAAATTCGTATTATGCAAAGGTGTTTTGTTTATCATTTAAGGCCAACAAATTGTTATTTTGCTTCCATCTGTCCATTTTCAGATTTTGGGATATTTTGCAACTATAACTTCCATACTTTCATAAAATGTACAACTAAATCGGCAATAATGTATATAAATACTTTATTTGTATGATTTTATCCCAACTCCGTCAACTACACCTATCAAAAATGTTGTTCTTGATAACATGTTTCATGTAGAAGTAATTTCCTGACATCCGATTGGTTACTGGCATTTAAAGGCCCTTTCCGGCAACCTGATTGGTTAAAATGCCTCGTGCCGCGCAGCACTTCCTTGTTTGAAAATAGCTCCCGCGAAGAATCCACGTAAAGAGAGACATAATGAGAAAATCTCGAAGAATATACCTACAGAATGTGAATAAAAATAGGCAATCTCAGTTAGCCAATGCAAGAAAAGCGGTGAATGAAAGAAAACATTTGCTGATCAGCCGATCGAGGCAGTGGCAGTACAGGTAGAGGAGGAAAAGGAGGAGGCCGGCAGCAGCGGGTCGAGACGCAAATTAGTTGAGATGAAGATGACAGCTAGCAGCGAGCAACCAGATAGCAGCCAGCCAACAGTGGCTTTTATTCCACATGTCACAAATAAACCAACTTGTACATGACTTGATTTGCCCGAAGTGTCTAAACAATGGACTGAAAATCACCATAGACCCCACCAACCAGGGATTCTGTAATTCTGTCATGATAGAATGTGCACACTGTGAAGGTGATCATGATGCATTTAGGAGGAGTGTTTACACTTCCTCCAGGCTGCAGGAGTGCTCCAGAGGAGATGTGGCATTTTATAGAAATGTGAGGATGGTTCTTCTAGCCCACGAACTTGGACTTGGTTATGCAGCTCTAATGAAAATAAGCAAGGTCCTAGGAATTCCTTCCTTGTGTCTCAGCTCATATCAGAGACATGACAGGAGAATGACAGGTAAATAAAAAGGGAGAGTAGCCCATTATTGTCAGGTGACTTGCTGTGTATAAATAATATTTATTTCCTTGCTCCAGCCAATGTATTCAAAGTGAATAAAACAGAGTGATAGGAAAACATAACTATACAATGAAACTATCACATGTTTCAGTTTACAATGCTTGACTTATAAGTGGACTTGACCCATTTATATTTGATTACTTTTTTACCAGTTAAGTTGACTGAGAACACATTCTCATTTACAGCAACGACATGGGGAATAGTTAAAGGGGAGAGAAGGGGGGATGAATGAACCAATTGGAAGCTGGGAATGATTATGTGACCATGATGGTATGGGAATTTTGCCTGGACACCGGGATTAACACCCCTACTCTTACGATAAATGCCATGGGATCTTTAGTGACCCTGTTTAACGTCCCATCCAAAAGACAGCACCCTAGACAGGGCAAGGTCCCATGACACAGTCAAGAAAGTAAAGCGGCACCAGCAACAACTCAAAGAGGGCCTTACATATGAGGCAGGCATAGCTGATTCATGTTCTGCACATTTGAACAGCCATACAAAATCCTTGTATGTGACAAATTTAGCAAAGTGATATGAGAATTTGCCCAAAACTGCATATTTGCCCAATAGACCAGTATTCAAAGCATGTGCTCTATTGCTTGAAACAAATGTATTAAACGTGCTAATGTATTTGTAAAAGGTATATTTGATGTTTATTATTATGTCAGTTTAGAAGTGATTTATGAATAAGAATTTAATTAATGTGACAGAAATTGTCATATTTATGGAAAGTACATTTTAATTGCATTAGCCTATCTTTATCGGCCATTTTCTCAAAATGACATGTTCCCCGTGCGCCAATTCATTTTTCTCAGTCTTCAAAGGACGTAAATTCACATTATTCCACACACAGGTTCTTAGGTCTTATAGTCAGATTTTTACAGAGGCTTTTTTAAATATCTTGTGTCGTTTTGATTTTAAGTGTCATTTTATGTGTAAATATATGCCAAATATGCATCCGTCATACATGTGAAGTGTTTTTTAAATAATTCCATGAAATGAAAATATTTCTGATAAACTGATCTGTAAAAGTCTGACCATTTGAGTGTCTTTATCACAATAACAACAAAAAAATAACATTCTGCCTTGAAGCAATGTGTTGGAAAAACAGATTATTTTAATATGCAAATGAGCGCACATTTAATAATAATAATAATAATAATAATATGCCATTTAGCAGACGATTTTATCCAAAGCGACTTACAGTTATGTGTGCATACATTTTTGTGTATGGGTGGTCCTGGGGATCATTTAAGGAAGTGTTGCCTCATTTGCATATTTTAATTTTAAAATAAATACAACTTGTAATACAATAATATCTTGTATTTATGTATACTTTCAGCTGGTAAAGTTTTAGTCTTATGAGAGTAAAGAAAAAAAATCCCCATTAGCCTGTGGAGCCTGGCCTTAAGATAACATTTGTGTCATGCCACTTGGGTGGATGTAGTGTGAGGATGGTGGAGTTTTTGTTCTCATCTTACATTGACCCCTGGCCTATCACGTGTGAGCATAGTAGACTCAGCATGTGTTTAATGTCACTCATTTCGTTGATGGGGGCTGGGCCAGTTGCTCCTCTCACAGCCTGTGCTTAGCTCTGTCTGCCGGGATGTGGATCCTCCAGGTGGAGGGGAGGGGGATGGTACAGTAGGGCTCGTCTGGGCGGGTCTGAAGCTGGGCTGGGGGAGGGGGATGGTACAGTAGGCCTCGTCTGGGCGGGTCTGAAGCTGGGCTGGGGGAGGGGGATGGTACAGTACGCCTCATCTGGGTGGGTCTGAAGCTGGGCTGGGGGAGGGGGATGGTACAGTACGCCTCATCTGGGTGGGTCTGAAGCTGGGCTGGGGGAGGGGGATGGTACAGTACGCCTCATCTGGGTGGGTCTGAAGCTGGGCTGGGGTGTCATTGTTGCACTGGCTGTGGTGGGCGTTGAGGTTGGTGGTGCTGTGGCCGTGGTTGGGTGGTCCAGGGTGCTCTTCCGGGGTTTTGTCTCGGTGATCTCGGGGGGGTGGAGATTGCGCCGCTGTTCCTGGGTGGTGAGTTCGGGCTGCGGTTTAAAGCGACGTCCTTGAGAGTATTGGCAAGGATGGGGACTGTCTCCCTGTACAGGTGAACATGGTCATAGAGACAGTCCAGAGGGAGGGTAGGATGGTGGGCCAGGTGTGTATGATTATGTGGCTTGGCGACCGAGCTGGGCCTTATCAAGCAGCTCCATGGCACTCTGCATTGTTGGGCACCACACCTTTCTCGTTTTGTGTCGAGGGAAAAGTTTATTCTCCTGAACAAACTTCCCATTTGAGTCCATCAACAGGACGATGTCAGCCAGTGTGTCTTCTCCACTGGAGGGGGTAGAGTCAGGGCTTGTGGCTGTCAGTGGGAGGCTGTTCTGTGAGCTGGAGGGAGGCGTGCAGCAGGCCTGGCTGGTTGGGGTGGGCTCCTCTGCTGTGTGAGGGCAGGTCACAGAGAGGGGCTCTAACTGCTCCTGCAGCCTGTCCTCTGTTCTCTTTCCCTCCTGCAGCTCCTCTCTTAGTGTGGTCAGCTCGTTATTACTGCTCTTCCTGTCTTTTTGGAGCTCTCTCTCTCTCTCCCCCTCCCTCCCTCCAAGATGAATGACTCATGTTGATGACCCCTACAGAACAACACATCTGCTTCGTGCCCATCACATACTTTATTTTTGTCCTCCCTCCTCTTCTCTCCTCCTATACTATTCCTTTCTCTGCTTCTCCGATGTCTGCACACATCTATATTGACTGAGTTGTTGTTTATTGTGCAATGTCTCTATTAAATAAGCAGCAGGAGCGCGGATCTAGGATCAGGTCATGTAATCTTACTCATTATGACATTTAAGGCAAAACTGATCCTAGGCCTACTGTAGATCAGTACTCCTACTCTGAGATGCTTTATGAGCACTGGCTCTGGTTGGTGGAGTAGCTGACGCAATCAAATGGGGGGGAAAGAGAGAGAGAGAGAGTCCACTAGGTTCAAACGACCACAGTTGTTACTTATGAAATGAGAATCGGAATGAATCGTAGCTTTATCTTGAGATGTTTCCATAAAACACAGCCAGTCTATTTTCTGTGTGTAGTCGTTAATGTTGGGGTCAACTCCATGTTGAGTCAGGAAGTGAATCGAAGTTCATTGTGTATTTTTTTGTTTCAGTTTACAATGCTTGACTTATAAGTGGACTTGACCCATTTATATTTGATTACTTTTTTACCAGTTAAGTTGACTGAGAACACATTCTCATTTACAGCAACGACCTGGGGAATAGTTAAAGGGGAGAGAAGGGGGGATGAATGAACCAATTGGAAGCTGGGATTGATTATGTGACCTTGATGGTATGGGAATTTTGCCAGGACACCGGGATTAACACCCCTACTCTTACGATAAATGCCATGGGATCTTTAGTGACCCCGTTTAACGTCCCATCCAAAAGACAGCACCCTAGACAGGGCAAGGTCCCATGACACAGTCAAGAAAGAAAAAGCGGCACCAGCAACAACTCAAAGAGGGCCTTACATATGAGGCAGGCATAGCTGATTCATGTTCTGCACATTTGAACAGCCATACAAAATCCTTGTATGTGACAAATTGAGCAAAGTGATATGAGAATTTGCCCAAAACTGCATATTTGCCCAATAGACAGTATTCAAAGCATGTGCTCTATTGCTTGAAACAAATGTATTAAACGTGCTAATGTCACGGTTTCGGCCGAGGCTGCTCCTCCTCCTGGTTCGGGCAGGCTTCGGCGTTCGCCGTCCCCGGAGTACTAGCTGCCACCGCTCTATGTTTCTGTGTTTGATTGCTTTTGTCTGTCTGTCACACCTGTGTCTGTTTGGGAGTTGATTACGTGTCTTATAAGTTCCGTGTTGTGATCTAGGGTATTTGTGTGTTGTTATTCTGTTGCCACTGTGTCTATGATACGTGTTTGTTTTCCGTGTCATTTTTTCATGTTTAGTGTTTTACGCGTGTGCGTAATTTTCCCTCGCCACTTCGTGTTTTCGAGGTCGGGGTTGTGTTCTCGTGTTATTGAGACTATTAAAAGTCTTGTTGGACTAAACCTCTGTTTCCTGCGCTTGACTCCTCCACCACATCCACGACGGAATAGTGACAGCTAATGTATTTGTAAAAGGTATATTTGATGTTTATTTGTCAGTTTAGAAGTGATTTATGAATAAGAATTTAATTAATGTGACAGAAATTGTCATATTTATGGAAAGTACATTTTAATTGCATTAGCCTATCTTTATCGGCCATTTTCTCAAAATGACATGTTCCCCCTGCGCCAATTCATTTTTCTCAGTCTTCAAAGGACGTAAATTCACATTATTCCACACACAGGTTCTTAGGTCTTATAGTCAGATTTTTACAGAGGCTTTTTTAAATATCTTGTATCGTTTTGATTTTAAGTGTCATTTTATGTGTAAATATATGCCAAATATGCATCCGTCATACATGTGAAGTGTTTTTTAAATAATTCCATGAAATGAAAATATTTTTTGATAAACTGATCTGTAAAAGTCTGACCATTTGAGTGTCTTTATCACAATAACAACAAACAAATATATATTCTGCCTTGAAGCAATGTGTTGGAAAAACAGATAATTTTAATATGCAAATGAGCGCACATTTAAGGAAGTGTTGCCTAATTTGCATATTGCACTCATTTCGTTGATGGGGGCTGGGCCAGTTGCTCCTCTCACAGCCTGTGCTTAGCTCTGTCTGCCGGGATGTGGATCCTCCAGGTGGAGGGGAGGGGGATGGTACAGTAGGGCTCGTCTGGGCGGGTCTGAAGCTGGGCTGGGGGAGGGGGATGGTACAGTACGCCTCATCTGGGTGGGTCTGAAGCTGGGCTGGGGGAGGGGGATGGTACAGTAGGCCTCATCTGGGTGGGTCTGAAGCTGGGCTGGGGTGTCTTTGTTGCACTGGCTGTGGTGGGCGTTGAGGTTGGTGGTGCTGTGGCCGTGGTTGGGTGGTCCAGGGTGCTCTTCCGGGGTTTTGTCTCGGTGATCTCGGGGGGGGGGTGGAGATTGCGCCGCTGTTCCTGGGTGGTGAGTTCGGGCTGCGGTTTAAAGCGACGTCCTTGAGAGTTCACCCTGTACAGGTGAACATGGTCATAGAGACAGTCCAGAGGGAGGGTGGGATGGTGGGCCAGGTGTGTATGATTATGTGGCTTGGCGACCGAGCTGGGCCTTATCAAGCAGCTCCATGGCACTCTGCATTGTTGGGCACCACACCTTTCTCGTTTTGTGTCGAGGGAAAAGTTTATTCTCCTGAACAAACTTCCCATTTGAGTCCATCAACAGGACGATGTCAGCCAGTGTGTCTTCTCGACTGGAGGGGGTAGAGTCAGGGCTGGTGGCTGTTAGTGGGAGGCTGTTCTGTGAGCTGGAGGGAGGCGTGCAGCAGGCCTGGCTGGTTGGGGTGGGCTCCTCTGCTGTGTGAGGGCAGGTCACAGAGAGGGGCTCTAACTGCTCCTGCAGCCTGTCTTCTGTTCTCTTTCCCTCCTGCAGCTCCTCTCTTAGTGTGGTCAGCTCGTTATTACTGCTCTTCCTGTCTTTTTGGAGCTCTCTCTCTCTCTCCCCCTCCCTCCCTCCAAGATGAATGACTCATGTTGATGACCCCTACAGAACAACACATCTGCTTCGTGCCCATCACATACTTTATTTTTGTCCTCCCTCCTCTTCTCTCCTCCTGTACTATTCCTTTCTCTGCTTCTCCGATGTCTGCACACATCTATATTGACTGAGTTGTTGTTTATTGTGCAATGTCTCTATTAAATAAGCAGCAGGAGCGCAGATCTAGGATCAGGTCATGTAATCTTACTCATTATGACATTTAAGGCAAAACTGATCCTAGGCCTACTGTAGATCAGTACTCCTACTCTGAGATGCTTTATGAGCACTGGCTCTGGTTGGTGGAGTAGCTGACGCAATCAAATGGGGGGGAAAGAGAGAGAGAGAGAGTCCACTAGGTTCAAACGACCACAGTTGTTACTTATGAAATGAGAATCGGAATGAATCGTAGCTTTATCTTGAGATGTTTCCATAAAACACAGCCAGTCTATTTTCTGTGTGTAGTCGTTAATGTTGGGGTCAACTCCATGTCGAGTCAGGAAGTGAATCGAAGTTCATTGTGTATCTTTTTGTTTCAGTTTACAATGCTTGACTTATAAGTGGACTTGACCCATTTATATTTGATTTCTTTTTTAACAGGTAAATTGACTGAGAACACATTCTCATTTACAGCAACGACCTGGGCAATAGTTAAAGCGGAGAGAAGGGGGGATGAATTAACCAATTGGAAGCTGGGGATGATTATGTGACCATGATGGTATGGGAATTTTGCCAGGACACCGGGATTAACACCCCTACTCTTACAATAAGTGCCATGGGATCTTTAGTGACCCCGTTTAACGTCCCATCCAAAAGACAGCACCCTAGACAGGGCAATGTCTCCAATCACTGCCCTGGGGCATTGGGATATTATTATTATTTTTTGACCAGAAGAAAGAGTGCCTCCTACTGGCCCTACCATCCAGGGACCGACCAGGACCAACCCTCCTTAGCTTCAGAGGGAAGCCAACAGTGGGATGCAGGGTGGTATGCTGCTGACATGAATTAAAGTAGACCCAATTCTAGTGTTTGAGGTATCAAAATCTATCTCTTACTATCATAAATTGATGGGTATTTACCATTACATTTAAATTTTAGTCATTTAGCAGACGCTCTTATTCAGAGCGACTTACAGTTAGTGAACACATATTTTTTTATACTGGCCCCCCGTGGGAATCGAACCCACAACCCAGGCTTTGCAAACACCATGCTCTATTAACTGAGCTACATCCCTGCCGGCCATTCCCTCCCCTACCCTGGACGACGCTGGGCCAATTGTGCGCCGCCCATGAGTCTCCCGGTCGCGGCCGTCTGCGACAGAGCCTGGATTCGAACCAGGATCTCTAGTGGCACAGTTAGCACTGCGATGCAGTGCCTTAGACCACTGCGCCACCCATGTTATCACTAAGTACCTAATAGGAATGTTGCAAATAATTTAAAAAAATCTTAGCGTATACATGGTCAAAATAGTCCTACGTACAGTATGTCATGTGGTCATGCTTTGTTTCCTTAGTGTAAAACTTCAAAGCGGCGGCACTAAGTGACAGTCAGTCAACTCTTTATACCTCCACCTGTGGATGGGCGTTCCAACTTCCATCAATGACTATTCATACAGCTGCTCCTGTATTGTTGTAAATGTGGCTTTATTTGTATAATGCCAAAATAGGCCTAATGAATAGTCTTTGAAGCTGGTGGAGTCATTGACGGGTCTATTATTGTCAATGTTTATCTATCTACTATTATCTATTATCCTCTATTGGGTTTGACGTCTATAGGTGGTCTGCTAATGACGACAGGCCTGTTGACGTTTCTCTGGTTTTGTATGGTTTTAAGGGTGATCGGTTTTTAATGTGTAGGGAGGATGGCAGACAGCAGTTGGTTTCTGTCAAGACGAGGGACTCAGGCTAAAGAACGTCTGGCTTTGTTATTTTTCAAGACGTTGGACACACATACAGGCTAGACAGAAAAATGCAAACACACACAGACAGAGACACATTTTGTCTCACACAGTCACACTCACACAGACAGGCACACACACACACTCTCCACGGTGTTGTGCCGTGTGAGCCTGCAACACCTATTTATTTGCGCGCAGCAGGGAAAAAACTGTCAGTGATGTGTAAATTCACTATAAATTATTGAACACCATTTCCATCACCCAAAAGATGGCCAGTTTTCTAAATTCTCTCTGTCCATGAACCTCCCCATATCCCCCCCCCCCATAACAGATAAGCCAACTACAGACAGTCTGCTTTTTCTTTTGTAGTCTCCAAGTCTGTGATGGACATGAGAGATAGAGCATTTAAATCTAATGGAAAATAAAAAATAGTGAAGGGAGGGAAGCAAGCAGGCAGCAAAGCCCTCCCCCCTCCGATTTTGACTCCTGGCCCATCTAGTGGAAATCACTCAGCTCTGCCTCCAGGACAAGATTCATCCTAATAGACGTCAACCTGCTTCCCTTTCCACAATCTCTATCTCTTTGCCCCTCTCCACCTTTGTACAGACCACAGGAGGCTAGTGAGGGGAGGACGGCTCATAATAATGCTATCAGACCATGTTTTTGATGTGTTTGATACCATTCCATTCATTCCGTTCCAGCCATTCTATGAGCCCGTCCTCCCCAATTAAGGTGCCACCAGCGACCTGTGGTACAGACCCCCCCCCAATCTCTTGCTCCCTCATCCCTGCAGTTTTTCCTTCCTGTCTCACTCTCCCTGCTCCATGTAGGCTCTGTATCTCACTCTCCCCTGCTCCATGTCGGCTCTGTATCTCACTCTCCCTGCTCCATGTCGGCTCTGTATCTCACTCTCCCTGCTCCATGTCGGCTCTGTATCTCACTCTCCCTGCTCCATGTCGGCTCTGTATCTCACTCTCCCCTGCTCCATGTAGGCTCTGTATCTCACTCTCCCTGCTCCATGTCGGCTCTGTATCTCACTCTCCCTGCTCCATGTCGGCTCTGTATCTCACTCTCCCTGCTCCCCACCTTTGGACAGACCCCCTAATCGTTTTTTTCTCTCCCTCTCTCGTCACAGAGGGACTGTGCTTCTGCTCTGCACTACACTATGTCTGTGCTTTTAGCCTAATGGACAGCAGTGGTCTCATTTCTATATATAACGTCCTATGATGAAGTTTCTCATACTCTCAGCTCTGAGTTTGTGTGAATGTGTGTGTGTGTGTGTGTGTGTGTGTGTGTGTGTGTGTAATGAGGTACGTGTATAAGTGTGTGTGTGTGGTTTTGTGTGTTCGTGTGTGTGCTGGGTTGAGGAGTTGTGTCTAGGTGTGTGTGTCCATGTATGTGTGCTTGTTTGAGGAGTAAGTAATAGTGTTAAGGGATCAGCTGGTGGTCGGGTCGTATCAGTCCAGATTATAGAGCTTAGTCCTTTATCCACATCTCACTGTAATTAACAAAGAGCGACTGAGAGACGGATGGAGGGAGAGAGAGAGAGGGTTGGGGGGGATGGAGGGAGAGAGAGAGAGAGAGAAAGTGAGATGGAGGAGAATGAGAGAGAGGGAAAGAGAGAAATAGAGGGAGAGACAGAGATGGAGAGGGGTATTAAAAGAAGCACACCGGCACATACTGATGTACGGACGTGTGTACACACTCACACACACACACACACACTGATCCCCCCCTCCACACACACACCAAGAGAGGAGAGTGGATTGTGTGTAATGACAGAGTGTGCTAGTGGACTGTGTATTTGTGTACATGATTGTATATGTGGAGCTAAGTACTATGTCCAGAACAAATAGCATTGAGGATATGAACTAAGCTCTATGTGGTTTATACTAGAGAGCAGTTACAGTTCAAGACCTCTATAATATCAGAATTTCTGGGTATACTATACAGGCTGGGAGGGATCCACCGGGGCACTGGTGCTGGACATGTGACAGGTCTGCCTACACAGTGGTGAATCGCTCTCTACTATATATTTAGGTCAGAGGTTGACATAAAAAATGTAGGGCCCTATGAATGTGTGTGCAATTCATGCAAGTTTGTGTGAAATTTTGTGCAACGGATGTGTGTGCAATAGTTGTCATACATTGCCTATACAGTATAGCTTACGTTTTATGCGGGAGATTCTGTACTTTACAGTGCCTTGCAAAAGTATTCATCCCCCTTGGCATTTTTCCTATTCTGTTGCAATAGAACCTGTAATTTAAATTGATTTTTATTTGGATTTCATGTAATGGACATACACAAAATAGTCCAAATTGATGAAATGAAATGAAAAAAATTACTTGTTTCAAAAAATTCTAAAAAATAAATAACGGAAAAGTGGTGTGTGCATATGTATTCACCCCCTTTGCTATGAAGCCCCTAAATAAGATATGGTGCAACCAATTACCTTCAGAAGTCACATAATTAGTTAAATAAAGTCCACCTGTGTGCAATCGAAGTGTCACACGATCTCAGTATATATACACCTGTTCTGAAAGGCCCCAGAGTCTGCAACACCACTAAACAAGGGGCACCACCAAGCAAGCGGCACCATGAAGACCAAAGAGCTCCCCAAACAGATCAGTACAGATCAGGGTTGGGTTATAAAAAAAAAAATGGAACATCCACCCCTAATATGGATGATGGATGGTGTTATATTGTATGCGTGGATACTATCCAATTCAATATAACTTTATTATCCCTCATGGGGAAATTGGCTAAGTTTTTACGTGCAAAAACAACACAGAGAAACATAGCAATTAGCATAGCTCCTAGATAAAATAATCACAGAGGAATACCAGTATCAGGCAGTGTCAAGAAATACCCTAGCTTCCAAAACATCAATAGCAGATATCCTAGAGACTACCCACAGAATTTAGCTAACTTTGACACTATCATATCTCCGTTCCTTCTTAGATGTTGATCAGTAAAATAATTTAATACATAATTATGGTACATCATTTCCCTTTTGGATAAATGATGTAAAGGAAATCAAATTAATACAAATGAAAAAGAAGATACTGAGAGAGAGAGACCGAGGCAGAAAGAGATGGGGAGAGAGACAGGGAGAAAGAGAGACCGAGGCAGAGAGAGACAGGGAGAGAGAGAGACCGAGGCAGAAATAGACGGGGAGATACCAAGCTTTGATATTTTGGCTTGCTGTTGTTGTTAGACTCAGTCTGAGTGATGAATTGAGTAATATATCAATCATAGAGACATGGTGTGTGTCAAGGGAGGATTTGGACAGAAGCCATGCAGACAGAGAGATGGATGGAGGGAGGAATGAAGGGAGGGAGGGATGATGGAGAACAGGAGAGACAGGCTTATCTGTCCGTCTGCTGCAACTGTCGTATGGGGGGCTGGGGGGATGTGTGGGGGACATCCATAGAAAAAACACACATATACAAGATCGGATTAAACATCTGCACACACCGTGTCATGTGCGCACACACATACTTACACGCAGCAGGAGATTATGCCTTACCACATGCACACATACAGTATAAACATACACACAAACACATACTGAGCATGACATGCACCTGTCACTCCGAAAGTTTGAGTAATAATACACCGCAACCTATTGGCATTTTCCGTTTGCAGTGGAGAGAGAGAGAAAAAAATGAGGGATGGATGATGGAGGGAAAAAGAAGGCACATATTAGGGAGGTTGTTACTGCTATAATAAGGCATTACTAGCATGGGGACTGGGACCATCCTACTCTCTCTCTCTCTCTCATATGTAAGAGAATACTTGGAGAGCTCATTCCTCCTCACATTGAAACCTGAACTGCCTATTAAACCTTACACTGTCTCCCTCTCCCTGTCTCTCTCTGCCTCGGTCTCTCTCTCTCTCCCTGTCTCTCTCTGGCTCGGTCTCTCTCTCCCTGTCTTTCTCCCCATCTCTTTCTGCCATCGGTCTCTCTCTCTCCCTCCCTGTCTCTCTCTGCCTCAGTCTCTCTCTCTCCCTGTCTATCTCTGCCTCGGTCTCTCTTTCTCCCTGTCTCTCTCCCCATCTCTTTCTGCCTTGATCTCTCTCTCTCCCTGTCTCTCTCTGCCTCTGTTTCTCTCTCTCCCTGTCTCTCTCTGCCTCGGTCTCTCTCTCTCCCTGTCTCTCTCTGCTTCGGTCTCTCTCTCTCCCTGTCTCTCTCCCCGTCTCTTTCTGCCTCGGTCTCTCTCTGCCTCGGTGTCTCTACCTGTCTCTCTCCCCCATCTCTCTCTGCCTCGGTCTCTCTCTGCCTCGGTCTCTCTTTCTCCCTGTCTCTCTCCCCCATCTCTTTCTGCCTCGGCCTCTCTCTCTCCTGTCTCTCTCTGCCTTGGTCTCTCTCTCTCCCTGTCTCTCTCTGCCTCGGTGTCTCTCCCTGTCTCTCTCCCCGTCTCTCTCTGCCTCGGTCTCTCTCTGCCTCGGTTCTCTCTTTCTCCCTTGTCTCTCTCCCCGTCATCTCTCTCTGCCTCGTCTCTCTTTCTCCCTGTCTCTCTCCCCGTCTCTCTCTGCTCGGTCGCTCTCTTCTCTCTCTCTCTCCTCTCTCTCTCTCTCTTCCTCTCTCCTCTCTCTCTCTCTCCTCTCTCTCTCTCTCTCTCTCTCTCTCTCTCTCCTCCCCTCTCTCTCTCTCTCTCTCTCTCCCTCTCTCCTCTCTTCTCTCTCTCTCTCTCTCTCCTCTGTCTCTTTTCTCTCCCTCTCTCTCTCCTCTCTCTCTCTCCCTGTCTCTCTCCCTCTCTTTTGCCTCGGTCTCTCTTCTCTCTCCCTGTCTCTCTCTTCTCTCCTCTCCTCTCTCGCTCCCTACTCTCTCTGCCTCGGTCTCTCTCTCTCCCTGTCCCTCTCTGCCTCGGTCTCTCTCTCTCCCTGTCTCTCTCTGCCTCGGTGTCTCTCCCTGTCTCTCTCCCCGTCTCTCTCTGCCTCGGTCTCTCTCTGCCCGGTCTCCTTCTCTTTCCTCCCTGTCCCCTCTCCCCATCCTCTTTCTGCCTCGGCCTCTCTCTCTCCTGTCTCTCTCTTTCCTCGGTTCTCTCCTCTCTCCCTATCTCTCCTGCCTCTGTGTCCCCTCCCTGTCTCTCCGCTCTTTCCCCTTCTTCTTTCTGCCTCGGTCTCTCTCTGCCTCGGTCTCTCTTTCTCCCTGTCTCTCTCCCCATCTCTTTCTGCCTCGGCCTCCTCTCTCCTGTCTCTCTGTCTGCCTCGTCTCTCTCTCCCTGTTTCTCTCCCCTCTCTCTTTCTGCCTCCTTCTCTCTTTTCTCCCTTCTCCTCTGCCTCGATCTCCTCTTTCTCTCCCTGTCTCTCTCCCATCTTTCTCCATCTTGTCTCTGCCTCGGTCTCTCTCTCTCCCTGTCTCTCTCTGCCCCCGGTCCCTCTCTCTCCTCTCCCTTTCTCTCTCTGCCTCGGTCTCCTTTTCTCCCTGTTCTCTCTCCCTGTTCTCTTTCTGCCTCGTTCTTCTCTCTCTGCCATGCTCTCTTCTCCCTGTCTCTCTCCCTGTCTCTCTCTGCCTCGGTCTCTCTTTCTCCCTGTCTCTCTCCCTGTCTCTCTCTGCCTCGGTCTCTCTTTCTCCCTGTCTCTCTCCCCGTCTCTTTCTGCCTCGGTCTCTCTTTCTCCCTGTCTCTCCCTGTCTCTCTCTGCCTCGGTCTCTCTTTCTCCCTGTCTCTCTCCCTGTCTCTCTCTGCCTCTGTCTCTCTTTCTCCCTGTCTCTCTCCCTTTCTATCTCTGCCTCGGTCTCTCTCTCCCTGTCTTTCTCCCCATCTCTGTCTCTCTCTTT